ATATATATATAGAAATTAAGATCTTAGACTACTGAAAGATTTCATCAAAATAAACCAGTAGAAAAGTATCTTTTAATAAAATGAAATAGTGAGGGTTAAACCTCCCTTTTTATATTCAGACTTTATAAGAACTGTTTCATAGTGGCATCATAACTTAGACTCATTGATGGCATTTTATACACATTTATCATACACATATTATCAGGTGTGGTGGCACTCGCCTTTAATCCCAACACTTGGGAGGCAGAGGCAGGCAGATCTCTGTGAGTTCTAAGCCAGCCAAGACTACACAGTGAGACCCTGTCTCAAAACTACAACAAAAAATGAAACATCATAGCAGTAGCTCCCAGCATTGGTAATAGTATGAATTTAACTGCCGTGTGCCTTATTTTTCCCAACTTCAGAGTGGGGTGAACCAGTTCTTACTGAATATACTTGGTGACTGGATATGAACTTCCTTAGAGATCTCCAAAAAGTACAATGCTTTTAAGGCATTTCTCCACTCCATGGTACATGGAGCTTAACAGCTTTTAGGGTAACATTCAAACAGTGCAATTTCAAAAACAAGCAAAACAACTTATTGTGGTAGAAACTAATGAAGCCAGGAGCACTGTCTTTTTAAATCATATTATCACAGCCTTCCATCATCCACAAACAGGTCATCCATTTCCTCTTGTAATCGTGTTCTCTGTGTGTCCTTGTGGTTCTGTGACCATTCTGTATTGGCATTTGCTGCACCGCAGACATTTAATTTTAAATACTTTTTGGTTTGCCAATTTGCAGTTTTGTTCCTGCAAGAACAACATTTTAATTTTTTATGCTTTTCTGTTTCCCCCCCCCTTTCATTTTCACAGAAAAAGAGAGAGAGACTAGATGGTGAAAACATTTATATCAGACATAGCAATTTAATGTTGGAGGTTTGTATGAACTTGAAGCTTATTTCAGTTGGTTGCCTGGAACCTTCTGCGTTCTTTACTGATCCCCTTTCTTCATTCTGTGCTGTGCTTGGTTTTGCATGCCATTGCATGAAATTCAACTTAGGTTTAAAATGCTTTTGCATGTTGGTAAACATGAAGATATGCAGTCATCTCTCCTAACTCTTTTAGTTTCCATCTTTCATACTGCCTAGAAAAATATATGATTGGAGCGACCTCACACGGTTCTGTTGGTTTACCCCCTTTCAGAAAATTCAAATGTCATTGCTAAAATTCCTTGAATTTTTCATGAATATAAACTCTACATGTCCCAAGAAACAAATTCACAGTTTTGTTTTTTATTTTCTGAACCGAGAAAAGTGAAAAAAGGAGGGAAAGTGATCATAATTCAGAAAGGACTTAAAGCATTGCAGATAGCAGAAAGGTACTGAAGAAAGGTCAGGAGAACAAGGAGGAAACAGGAAGAGAGCTAGCATTTAACAGATAGTTTCTATAAGACAGTTTAATAAAAGCAAGCCTGCAAGTGTGGAGGTTTTTATTTTAAAGACGAGAAAATTGAAGCTTAGGGAATTTAACTAATTTCCCTATGGTCCCAGAGCTGGTAAATTGGTAAAACTGGGGTTTGACTTAGGAATTGCACAACTCTTTTAAACCGGTGTTTTCTACTCAGAAGTAGCAGTGTACAGGAGTGCTAAGGTCATCGTTCTGTTGCTTTCAGCAGTGGTCAGATTCTTACCAGACCTGTGTTAGTGTGCCTTATCTAGTGTGGAGCTCCACATTGGATGAGAAATAAAACTCTGGGGGCTGGAGATGGCTCAGTGGTTAAGAACACTGACTGTTCTTGCAGAAGATCCAGGTTCGAATCCCAGCACCCACATGGCTAACAACTGTCCATAACTCCAGTTCCAGGAGATCTGATGGCCTCTTCTGACGTCTGCGGGCATTGCACAACACGGGTGCACTTACCTACATGCAGGCAATACATGTGTACACATAAAATAAAAAATAATAAATAAAATATTAAAAAAATAAAACTCTTGCCGGGCGTGGTGGCACACACCTTTAATCCCAGCACTTGGGAGGCAGAGGCAGGCGGATCTCTGAGTTCAAGGCCAGCCTGGTCTACATAGTGAGTTCTAGGCCAGCTGGGCTACAGGGAGACCCTGTCTCAAAAAGACAAAAAAAACAAAACCAAAAAAAACCTTACATAGAAGTTGATGACTAGATTATATAACTCCACTCAAGGCAGAACTGTAAGGCATGCATATAAACTCTTATGTCAGGGATTTTACTTAACCATAGAAGAAATGATAAACATGGCTTCTGTGTGGTTGCAGGAAGCTTACAATGTGAGGAACTGAGGAGGAGAGAAATAAAAAGTGAATAAAGAGCAATATCAAAGTTACAAATTATTAGAAAACCTGTAGGAGATAAACGGTATGCTTTGCTTAAAAAGGAGATCTGCTTAGTGAAGAGTTGGCATTGACAGTAATCCTCCTGCCTCGCCTGAGTGCTGGGATTACAGGTGTGCACTGCTGTGTCCAGTGAGGCTGCATTTTACTTGAGACTTGAATGCTGAGCATGTATTAAATGCGGCAGATATTTCCAATTTGAAAGTTTGAAGAAATTTTAAAAACTAGATTTCTGGCTGGGCATGGTAATATGTCTGTAATCCCCACACTCAGGAGGCTGAGACGGGAAGGTCAGGAGATCAGGGTCATTCTCAGCTACATGGTTAGAGGACAGCCTGGGCTACATGAGAACCTATCTCAATCAAAGAAACAAAAATCCATAAAAACAGATTGTTGTTTATATATGACCTCTAAGAATTATATAATCATTTCATTTTTGTCAATACCTATATTTTGAATACCTGCTATTTATAAAGTACTTTGATACAAATAATAGAAATTATGACTGGCCTTTATTAATCATATACTGGACAGGCAAAATGCCAAGTGCTTTATGTAAGTTTGTCTCATATAATACAAATTCTCCCAGCCAGACCCTTGTACATTACAAACTTGGAAACTGGGTCTTTGTTTTAACCCACACCTGAGATTAGATCAGAATCATTTTGTCTTCAGAGATTAGGAAGACCAAGACAGGTCAGCTGATCTCTTTTTCTCAGCATTTTAACAATCTCCATCTAAAAACGCACATTTCCTGACTTGTCCATCTTCAGTGCTTCCCCCTAATGGAACCTGCAGTGCCAATCATATATTTGTCATTTGTTCTACAAGGTGTGTTATGGCTTCTGAGACTCACAATGTTCCTGTGTGATGTTTTCTTCCCTGGTGTCTTACTGAAAGCCAGGACAGGGATTTCTAAAGAAGTGTGCGTGTGTTTGAAAATTAAAACGACTAACTGCCTTTTGAGAACATTTTGTATTTAACAAAATGTTTGGTTTGATTGCTGCTAAAATTGTAAGATGATAGACCTCAAAAATTATCTAACGTGAAGATACCCTGACATGATTTGACCATCACTCTTTAGCTGTTGTAAAAAGTGTACCCCCGCTAAGGAAGTTCTCTCAAGTTATCTGTCACCCTAGCAAGTTTTTTTTTTTAAAGCATCCCTTCTCCCTCATCCCTCCTCTTACCTCACCCCCACTAATGCTTTGTTCTGGCACAAATAAGGTCGAGTTCATTTTTAGATCTACCACCTCCTCCTCCATCTCCCAGAGAGAACCTGTAGCAAAATATCTATGACAATTTCTATTTGGAACAGGTCCCTTTGAGATCTTAATTTTATTCTGTGCCCCCACAGGTTTCCAACAAAACCAGCTAAGAAGGATGGAGAAAACTCCCTCAGAAGCTACCAGTTTTGTTGAAAAATATATTTTCAATAAATCCCAAGCCAATCAAAAGCTAGGCAAGAAGCATTAGAAATCACCAGTCTCTTGTATCAGGCTAAGTCAGAGTTATGTTTTTAACCATAACATCTCTTGGTCATTTTTTCCCCTCCATTCATATCTTTAATCTTACCAAATGTGTTAAGTTGTTCTTGACCCAGGCAGACTTACTGTTCAGTCAAGAGCTGGTTCAAGAGCTGGTTCTCCCATGCCTGATGAGGTCAGTGGTTCAGTCAGACACTGAGTCTGGGGCTTGTACATGCTCTTTGGTTGGTAACAGGCCTTCCTTGCTTTCAGCTACAACAAAAGTACAAACTGTTGTTTCCCTGGGTGACGCTCATATTCAGGAGAGACACATTTCTTCTCAGTAAGCAAGAGTTACCCTTTGGGGGCTGCTTTTCTCTTTGACTGACCCCAAAGCAAGTATGTATGGGTCAGTCCTGCAAAAATAGAAGAGACTGGTAAATGAATGTCTGAACAAGTAACTTCAGATTCAAGATTTTCATGTGAGTCACTGATTTTTTTTTCTCCTATGTTATTTTCCCATTGATAGTGCTTTTTGGAAAAGTTTTATTTAGTTGAAATCAGTCTTGCCTTTAGAAGAAAACTTGTCAACAGATTTTGACCTAAACAAATTCCATTTAGTTTTTCCAAAATGAGACTTTCCCCACAAAGCCAAAAAAGAAAGACTAATCCTACAATTCACACAGCATATTAGGAGATATATTTAGCATTATGTTTTTCTTAGATACAGAGCTGGCCTCATATGTAACAAACACAGAATTGTTTGTGGTCATCAAGTCACAGGATCCCAAACTCAAAATCTGAGGATTTTTTGTACATATATGCATGTTCTTAGACAAAGAACATTTGAGTCTTTGTCTTCAAGTTAAATTTACCAGACTCTTTTTGGTCAGATGTCCTTTGTAAAAATATATTGTAGGTTTCTTTTAACATAAATCTGAATGTTTCTAGCTATGCCTTGTTAACCTTAGTTTTGATCATCTCTCCCTAAAATATTACCTTTAAGAGCTTTCATCTACCTCTAGTTGCCTGATATTCAAATTGCTGGAACAACTGTACTATTTTAGATTGTCAAGGAGATATATAAGGTATTTGATAAACTTTTGTTAGGTGACTAAACACAGGACCTTGTATGTGCTTGCAAGCCCTTTAAATACTAACAAAGAAAAAAAAAGCCACTCTAGGAACTGAGGACATAACTCAATTGGCAAACTACTTTCTTTGCAAGCATGAAGACCTGAATTCAATCCCAGAACTCATGTAAAATGCTGGGCACAGTGGTGCATGTTTGTAATTCCAGCACTGGGGAGGCAGAGACAGGAGGATCCCCAGGACTTGGTAGCCAGCTGGTGTAGCCAAATTAGTGAGCTCCAGGCCAGAGAGAGACCCTGTCTCAAAGGAAGTTGACAGTATTGTTGAGGACAATACCTAAGGTTGTCTTTTGGTGTCCCCATGCAGATGCACACACATTCATATGCACACACACACACATACATAATTTTTATTTTATTTTAAAGCCATATTTTTTTCAGAGGTAGTAACAATTGACTTTGGAGCCTGGAACTAGGAATTTTATTAATAAATTCTTGAATCAAAGAGGTCTTACTAAAAGAGAAACAAAGCTGTCTCCAGTGGAGAAGAAGTTATACCATAGTACTACAGCTCACCAAAGTACAACAGCCAGGGGTAGAGGTTGAAATCCCTCACATGGCTGCTGTTCAGCAGTTTTCCTATTACTCTCTCCATCCTGCCTGAGCTGAACCTAAATCAGTTCTCATCAAACTGAGGCTAATTGAATTGTGAGGTCACCTTCTTGGGATGAGGAGTTGGAGATCTGGTTTTGCATCATGTTTAGAAGAAGAGTTATAAAATGAAGGAGTAAGGTCTTTATGGGCAATGTAACTGCCAAGAGCTGTGGGATTATGATGCTTCACTGCTTCCAAGTAAAGTACTTTGCTTTAAAAAAATCAAGCAAATATACCATATTGTATATTTACAATTACAGTGCAAACTATGCACTGGTAGCATCTGTCCTGGATGTGGTGTTTTCTACCAGTGCCCAGTCTCTTATGGGTTACCCTTGGTGTATTTTTGTTCCAACTACTTACTGTTTTGTGTCTCTGTCCTTTCAACTGTAGGATTTAGACAAGAGTCAAGAAGAGATCAAAAAGCATCATGCCAGCATCAGTGAGCTGAAAAAGAACTTCATGGAGTCTGTACCAGAACCACGGCCTAGTGAATGGGATAAGCGCTTATCTACGCACTCCCCCTTCCGAGCTCTCAACATCAATGGCCAAGTCCCTACAGGAGAAGGAGTGAGTACATTGTCTGCACGACCAATCGTGAGGCTGAATGTAATAAGTGGTTTTGTATGTTTATATTCTGTATCTGAGAGAAAGTTTAGAGCTGAAATTTGGCTTTGGTACCTTAACAGTTTGTTGCTGTTTTAAGGCATTAGTAATCAAACTGCTTTTAAGTCATTTATGCAACTCAGTTCAACTGTGGGAGCCATTTAGAATTATCAGTTGATGGTTAACTCTGAGAACTGTTTTGCAGCCATGTACTTTTGGCTAGTGTATGTTTATAAATTGACCACAAGCCAGTAAAACGTTGTTTATATTCAAAATGTCCCTTCCAGGACAAGGAAGTTTGCTAAATTTAGTAAGGTCACAATTGGAAAGGGAGGACATTTTTTTAAAACTTTATTTGAACATTTGTACAACTTAGAAATGTCTGGAATGATTGCCCAGTTATGTAAGAAACGAAAGAGGCCCCTAAGCCAGAGAATGAAGAGCACTCACTTTAGAAAAAATAACGAATGATTTGTTTGTCTTGAGTGACATCAAACCTTTAATAAACTGTTTTATGAGGTAGTCACAATTAGAAGAAGCCAGAGATGTCTTGCAGGGTCTTTTCTTTATCTAGGTTATCATTTCCTATTTTGGAAATCCTACCTCTGAATTAATCTGCTTAATGTAACATCTTGAACATTATCTTGAACTTATATTCAAAAAGTCTTTATTTTTAGCCAGTATGTTATTTATATTAATAGTTATCATGACTTAATGACCGATTATATTTTTAAAAATTATGTGGCATTGCATGACATGGGTGTACTCACATACATGCAGGCAATACACTCATATACATAAAATAAAAATAATAAAAATTTTTAAAAATTATGTGCTTGCTTTGCTGCCCCCCAACCCAAAATAGAAATTCTACTTGAGAAAGGCAAACTAATATCCTAAATAAAAACCCAAGGTTTGGCTGGGCGTGGTGGAACATGTTTTTAGTCCCAGCACTTGGGAGGCAGAGGCAGGAGGATCTCTGTGAGTTCAAGGCCAGCCTGGTCTACATAGTGAGTTGCAGGACAGCTGGGGCTACAGGGAGACCCTGTTTCAAAAAGAACAAAGAAAAAAAAGAAACAAACAAACAAAAAAACCCCAAGGTTTATCAAGCATGTGTCTGCAGTCCCACAAATTCAACAAGTTGAGGCAGGGATGGATGACATAGTGAGACTTTGTTTCAAAGCAAAACAAAAACAAGGTTTTAAAATGTTTCAGAATTCTTGGTAAACTATCCAATTCTACCAATTCTATTACTTATTTAGTTTCTGGAACTGGAGAAGGGGGTAAAAGTTCATCTACAAAGAATACTTTTTATCCTTTTCAATTGGGTTTAAAATTAGCTAACAGTTCTCCAAACAAAGTTAAAACAATTTTACAAGTGAGGCAGGAAAATACCTCCATAAGAGGTCCCTGAGTATTTACTGGGAGTGACAGGAGAGCCCTGTTTCCATTTGGTGTCCTCTTACCCTCTTTACCCAGATAAAAATGAACATTAATTTTGTGTTCTAAGTCTATAGCATGTACCTTTTATTTATTTTAATTTTATGTGTATGCTTGTTTTGCCTGCATGAATGTAAGTGTACCCATGTGTGCAATGTCCACAGAAGTCAGAAGAGAGCATCAGATTCCTTGGAACTGGAGTTATAGATGTTGTTAGTTGTCATGTGGGTGCTGGGATTTGAACCCCGGTCTTCTGCAAGAGCAGCCAGTACTCTTAACTGCTGAACTACCTCTCCAGCCTCTATAGGATGTACTTTGAGCCAGAAAAGTAATCCTTTCTGAGTGAGACCATCACTCTCAAAGGGAGATAATTCATTCTGATGTGTCCTTAGAAATAAGAATCATAAAGGTTCAAAGATAGTTGTGATTTGATTTGACTGAGAGGGCCTGGCTAATTAAAACCTAATTGAATGCTTTTGAATAAGTCATTTATCATGTTTGGGCTTATTTATAGAGTCTTTTGTGTGTGTTTGTCTTTTTGTTTGTCTTGTTTTTTGGTCTTTTTGAGACAGGGTCTCCCTTTAGCCCCAATTGGCCTGGAACTTGCTATGTAGACCAAACTGGCCTCTATCTCACAGAGATCTGCCTGCCTCTGCAGGGACTAAAGGCATGCATCACCATGCCCAACAGAGTACACAAGCTTTAATGTCCTTGGTAACTAAAGTTCTACAAATGAGAGAGTAGTTTGTTGCTATCTCACCTAGGAGCCCTGTCTGCAAACAATAGCAGCATGTTTTCTAGGAATGCTTTGAAAAAGTAACTTGGTGCTATCTTGGATAAGTTTGGGTAAATTTGTATCAGTCTTCATTTCCAGAAACTATGTCCTTAAATAGAAACCCTTTAGAAATCATCCTAGGGCCTGGTTTGGGGAATGGCAGTGTCATTCTGTGAACTTATAAAATGACTTTTATAAACTAAGTTAGATCCATGAGGGGTGCTTAAACAATTTTGATTCTGTGCACATACACACACATACGTGTGTGTGTGTGTGTGTGTGTGTGTGTGTGTGAGTGTGTGTGTGTGTGTGTGATAGAATACATAAGAACTGTACTGTCATCTTTTATATTGGGACAGTTCCACTTTTTGGCATATCTTACCTTTTATAGTTGGGCTAACATTTCTGTTCTCTGGGGCTATCTCTCCCACCCTTGACACTGTTGTTGTTGCATTGCAAGGCAACTGAATTTTACATAATTTGTGTATGACCAGGTGAAGAAAACCTCTATCCTCCCCTCGGAAAGAAAGGTTGGTGGGCCAGAGGTAAAGCTGCTGTTATGACTCATGCTTCTCAGTCAGAACTTGCTCTTGTCATGGCACAAGCCGAGAATTCCCCAGAAGTCAGTGATAGCTGCTGAATATTTTTTTCCTTTGGCTATACTAGTAAGTTCACGCCCACTGCCTTTTGGCCTAACACATTACACCTTCACTGCTGCAGCACCTGCAGTTTTCAATTTGCTTATTTTGGCGCATGGCTGGTTGAAAAAGCTGCATGAAGATGTAAATATGTATTCAGAGAGAAAATGAATTTAATTATTCCCTGTTCTTTTTATGTTGTCTTTCTTCTCCACCTTATTTTCTTTTAAAAATCATTATAATTTTGCATCCTGTCTTTTCCTTTTTTTCTTTTGCTGACCAGTCCCCTAGCTACTTTCTCCCTGATACATATCACTTAGGGGTGTGCAAAGAACCAGTGTTTAACTTTCAAACTGACCAGAGACGGCTAGCCCAGCTGAGAGAACTTAGAGCCAAGTTTTTCCTTTCATAGATACCCTCTGTCTTGACTATAGATAGCAGAGTACAGAAATTGTAGGGAGAGAAAAATTCTCAATTGGACAATTGGAGTAGGGGCGCTTTCTTTAAAAATTGCCCAAAGAACTTACTAAATGTAATGTATAAACCTTCAAGATGATCATATTATTTTAGTCATGATTCTGAGACATTGAGATTTGTGGAGTATATTTTTTTTTCTTTTTTTTTTACCCCCACCCCAGGGTAGACCCTGGAGGCACATTATAGACTTATACTTTTTGTTTTTATTTTGCGCCCTTTAATAATTTGATACCCCTGAGCAAAATCTAATTCTCATGCTGAACTAGTACATCTTCAAGTGTTTTTAAAAAGATACAAGAATTGCTTTTTATATTCTGCCATTTTATGAAGAGTGATTTATTGGCATCACCTGATCCATTGATGATTGGCAGCACCAAAGCAATTAAAAATGACCCACAATTTATATGTGAAAATAAATTCATGCGTGAGTAGACTCAATGAGGGAATAAGTGGTATAACTAAGAAAGCCAGTGATAACTTGAACTTTCAGGTGTTACAAGGCACATTTTTTCAAAAAGCTATACATTGAGTCCTTCTGCTGAGCTAGAGAAACTTCGCTAGGGTAAATTGCCAGAGTGAAACCAAAATAAAGTCTCCAAAAGCTCTTGCCACACCCTTTGCACATCCTCAAGTGTCACTTTTGAGCATTTTCCATCTGTCATTTTGTTCATCTTTCTCTGTCTTTCTTGATCTTCTACTGTGAAAGCAGACACAGGAACGTGCTCTGTTAGTACAGGGTGAAGAGAAAAGTAAAAGGCAAGAGAGATCTACTGAAAGAGCCTTGCCCCAGCAAGAAAATGAAGAAATCCTTCCCAAGGTTTCTATTCCAATCCCTGAGGAACACAAGTCTCTCAAAAAGTGCCACCTCTACTCTAGTGCTTTTCCATCTCCTCGCATTCCTTTCATGATGTCTTTTCTCCTGGTCCTTGCATTGGCTGTTTGGTGGTTGATCTTTCTGTGATCGGAAAACAGGGTGCTCATCTGAAATGTCAAGACTAAAACCACTGAACTTTTATCCTTGGCTTCAAATGTGTTATTGCCTACAGGATGCCTCTGATCTTGATAGTTCACTGTTGTAGGGGAGCTCTTGTGATCCTTTTTCTGTCAATAAAATGTCAATCTTTGTAGAGTACATTGTGAGGAAAAAGGAGTAGCAATGGATTGCCCAAGCTAGCTTTTCTGCACCGAAGTTTAACACATGTAGACAAATCAGATTTAAGTGTATAGCAGGCGGGTTCTTGCCCCAAAGCTATCCTGCATGCTCTTACTGTAGTCTGTGCCATGTCCTTCTTTTCAGTGTCACACAAACCAGGATACTCTAACAGCATTTGATGGGCTATTTTCCCAGCCTACTGTAGCAACATCTGTGGCATGGGCTCTGTAGTTTAAGAAAATTATTCAACTTCCTACTCTTTCAAAAGCCTTAAAATGACAAAGTTTTAATCCATAAATCCATAACCACTCCTTTTCTTAGAGTATCAAATCAGTACATACAAAGGCCCTTCCTGGAAAAGGGCTTTTGACATCTGTGGCCTTTCTGTGAGTAATTATGAGCAGCGCAGACAAATGACTTTATCCTGCCTGATGTGAAGAGATCTACAAAGGTTAAATGTAGAGAAAGGGTTCATTTAGTTTAAGGAAAACGGTGCTGGTGTCCCTTGGCCTCCAGCTGGGGCTGAGTTTTTCAGACTACCTATCTTTAAAAGTCCTGAATTACAGATTAACTCAAGATCTATATGTAAACATACTTTTCTCAGAATTAAATACTATGTTATTTCCTTATGGCTTAAGTAATTATTGCTAGAAGCAATATTTAGCTGTTATAATAAGGTTAAAATACACTTGTTTTCCTCGTACTTAAGACCTGTTTGTTCTTGCACTTGTGTTGAAATCAATTGTTTCTAGTCACTAACCTTGTACGTTAAACTTTTATTGTGACAATATGCATCCTGTTTGCATGTTGATTTATGAGGCTTCCCTGAAGTGAATATGAGCTCGCCCACCTCAAAACACCACTTGGATGCCTAAACTGGTGTTTTTCACCTTAACATTAATGAAACCTTGCATGTAGCATGCTTTTTATGGCATTTGACTGTATCAATCTGGATGATTTGGTTAATGTCTCAAATATTGTTTTGAACTCTGAATTTATAGTTATCAAATTAAGATTATTATATTTTGTATGATTTCTCAATGCTTTTTAGTTGGTGAAATTTCTAAGCAAGGTTTTTGCTTTTAGAGAGAGAGAGAGAGAGAGAGAGAGAGAGAGAAAGAGAGAGAGAGAGAGTAAAACTAAGGATTTTTTGTCCCTCAATATCCACTAGTATTATTCTATTGTCTTGACAGGCATAATTCTCTGGTATTTATTGGAAACTGCTATGCTACTCTGTCATTATTGGTTTAAAAAAAAAACTGATAAAATAAGCAAGGACCAGGCTAGTTTTTTTTTTTAAATCTGGTGTGGATGTATATGGTTTGTATCACAAGTTATGTTTATTTATAGCAAACATTTTGTAAATAAGCATATTTACTGATTCACTCATAAGAAAAGAGATCCTGAAGCCACCCGAAATACTTCAAAACTATTTTGTAACACAGAAAATAATAATCATAAGTTTGTCCCTTTATCTGTGAAATAGATGTAAGATTTCCTTAATGAAATACCAAATGAAGCTATAGCATTGATTATGTTACCTTAAGTCATTTTTTTTAGCAATTAAAAGGAAAATAATTGTAGAATTTTATCAATACTTTTATAACTGTTTCAAATTACATTTCCTAAAGTTCCTGTTTTCATCATTGTATACAACTTTTTATTAATTATTGTAAACCTTACCCTGAATTTTGTTTCCTTTTATATTGGAGTTATTTCAAGTCCATTAAAAGTTTAGTGTGAGCCAACAATACTATTCAGTTTTCTGAAGTACAGCAAGAATCCTCAAAAATCCTTACTGACAGTCAAAGAAGCCATTTCTTCTGTAAGTAAAGACGGTTGAAAAGGAGATGCCAAGCCCTTGTATTGAGCAAAGCTGACCAATGCAGGCTCAAAGGATACACCCATCATAGTTATCAAAGGAGAAATATCAGACATTCCAGCTTTGTACAACCTGAAGCTATTGCTGCCAATATTTGTAACATGAAGCTATAAATAGCTTTGTATTCTTTCCCCTACTTCATTCCATTCTCAGTACCAAAGGCATAGCCAAACAACTGTGCATTGACTTTACCCTGGTTCAGCCTCCTATTGGCAGGTCAAGCAGTAAAAAAAACAATTTAGACTAAAGATATTGATACAGACCTATGTAGATTTTTGCCTTGTTTTCTCATGAATCATTTCCAGGGTGACCTGAAGAGGTCACTTGACTACTTGGTGCCCATATTTCCACCTCATAATGTGCAGACAAATCTACCTCATGAGAATGAATCTGTAGCAAGTTTCAGGGACCAGAGATTCTGATGGTTCCTGGTCTTTGAAGGGCTGGGAAGATCCAAATTAAGGAAAAAAAAAAAAAAAGTCACATAGGAACTTCCTGGGATTTTTTTTTTTAATAAGCAAATCACTATGTTTATTTCTCTCTACTGCTTGTGGATGTTTGACCAATCACTTAAAACTACTAAAGTTAAAAATGCCTTTCCAAATTTATCCCTCTCTTAATAAACTGAAATGGTATTCTTTGACTAGAGCATGCTTGAAAATAAATCCAGCGCCTGCATTTTGGGCCTGTCTTTTAGCCATTTTCTTATTGCCCACATTTGGAATATGAAAGAAATTTTATTAGCAACTTTGCTATTTATTTACGTCTTTAGTAAAATTTTTAAAGATGAAAGGAACTGACTCTGTTGCTCCAGAGTAGACTAGGGGGTTGTATGTTGTCATCCTGAACCTACTGAATTTAAGTCATTTCTGTAGTGATTTCTGTAGATAAGCCTATAGGACACACTAAACATTGGAAATTCAGTGATTTTTAAGAGGATATTAGCAATAAAAATGCATACTTCACCCAATGGTCATTTATTTAGAAAAGACAAAAACAGCATGAAATACTGTTTCATTGTTGCTCCCTCAAGGGTAATGAGTAAAGAGTCATGAACTCTGTAGAGCTGCCTTCCCTCTCACTCTTCATAGAAATTTTAAGATCCCAGGGCTAGGCCTCCTGGCACACAGCTTTAATCCCAGCACCTGGGAGGCAGAAGCAGTCAGATCTCCATGAGTTTGAGACCAGTCTGGTTTATGTGGGGAGTTCCAGGCCAGCTGAGGCTACAAGGAGACCCTGTTTTAACAACAAGAATGCTTTTCTCATCTTTCGTGATTGATATCTTAAACGATTACAGTGTCCGCTTTACCACAGTTAGAATTCTGTTTGGATGAATAATAGATAAATCCGAGATTAACAGGAGGGAAAGGCATAGAGTCTCAGCTATCTTTTTTT